CGTCAGGAGTCTGGGGCCCCTACATAAACAGAGGCTCCCATTGGTCCGAGCTCCGTGGCGTCACGAGGCCGCACGCACCTTTCACGTGATCGTCAAGGGGTTTCTCAAGGAAAAGGGCAGGAGCGTGCCTAGGGTAGTAGGTCGTTACGCCCTCGCACCTAACCCCGTAAACGGCAAGGCTGCTGCGCGCTCCCGCGGGCCCAAGGAGCCCCAGTGCCTCGGCACCTGGGACGGGAAAAACCGCTGGGGCTGAAGTCCACAGGCGGACTACTTGGGAAAAAAAATCAAACATATGGCCAACCTTTCCACTTCCTGAAATCAACGTGAGAGTAACATCCATACTGCGCTTTGTGCGAGTGCTCCTGTGCGGTACCACAAACACTAAGGTGTTACAAACGATCCTTCTAGAAGCGGAAAATCGGCATCTACAGGAAGAGTGAAGAAATCATGGAACTTTCTTACTATGGAATATTGTGCGGTCCTAACGGGATGAAGTAGGTAGAGATGGGAAAGAACTTCAAGGTGTAGTAAGTAAAGCATTAAATGGGAAAGTTCACTGTAGAAAGAATAAACTGGCCATTTGTTCGTCCTACATCAGCAGATGTTTCTTACAAGTACTATACATACATAGCAGGATCAAAGACTGCAGGAAAAAAAGTATTTTTCTTTTTCCAGAGCATGATGGTTAAATATTAATTTTGTTAATTAGTAATTATTTTTAAAATGCAGACAAGTCCAGAAAATGAGACCTATATGTTCATCGTCCCGACTGAACAAATTTTAGTATTTCTATCTCCATATGCACATAACTCCTTTTTCATCTGCAGGGCCCTTATGGCCCTCTCCAAACAGGCAGAATTCTCCATGGCCTACCTTCCTTTCCTCCCAGACCCACCTCCTTCATGAAGTCTCTCAATTTCCTTCATTCTGTGTTCTTCATTTGCTTCCAAATTCCTACAAAACATACAAATTGCAAGGTTTCATTCACTCCACAGAAGAGAATCAAAAGTGTGAAATTAAACACCTACCGAAGCGCTATGTAAGTGCTAGCTGTAATTATTGTTGGTTTTTTTTTACTGTCTTTTTAAATGCTTTTAAAAAGATGGGACCTTGCTGTATTGCCTAGGCAATTCCTAGGCTCAAGTGATCCTCTGACCCCGCCTCCCCAGGAACTGGGACAATAATCCAATTCCATTGCATCTGCTGGCCTTGTATTTTTAGTAACAAAAATGAAAGCTGATATTTCTTGAGCACTCACTAAGATTCCGAAGTTAGAGCTAAATGCTTTATAACATCATTTCATAATTAGTCCCTGAGGTAGGTATTATGCTTCTAATTTCATATGATAAAACATTTAGAATAAATAAGTGCCTTGTCCAAGGTTACCTGGTCTATCCTGGAGGAGCTTGGATTTGAGTCCAGTAGAGTTGACTCCAGAGCCTCAATTGGTAAAGTAATAGCTGCCCTTTAGAGGAGGAAAATTTGGCAAAAACAGAAAAGTAGAAGCAAATCAAAACCCCTGGCTGTTGCCAAAAACCGTTGTATTAATAATCAAGGGGTATTTTTCTCATGGATAACAGCTTTATTGGGATTCATGTGATAACTCTCTACCTTTGAGGAATTACCAATTTTTTCCAAAGTAGCCCTACCATTTTAAGAACATTCCACTTAATACCTATAGCTCAGTGTTTTTGGTGTAGGGATTGCCATAGCGATTACATTGAATAACGTTTTTTCAAACTGGTAAAGCGGGAACCAGAGTTCTTATGTACAGTAATAATTATTCCCATGAGCAATGACAGTCCCTAATGTGGTCATGTTTTTTGCTTTTCTTTCTTTCTTTCTTTCTTTCTTTTTTTTTTTTTTTCTTGGTACTGGGATCAAACTTGGGACCTTGCACTTGCAAGGTCCCTTGCAAAATCCCTGGCCCAATGTGGCTATTTCCTGTGACCATCATTCAGATGCCACCTGGAAGTGGACTCTGCTCCTGCAGGTTCCGTCTGGTGCTCCATGGGAGCCGCCCTGTCAGGTGAGGCTGCTGAAGGCCTCACTGAGGTTGGAGGGTTAAATTGGCTGTCTGTTTATTGAGGTTCTACAGCACTGTTCTCTGCCTGCTCTTTTATAACCTTTCCTCATTCCTCTTGTCTAGAGCACATTTTTAAGTGATTCCTTAAAGATAAACCTTTGCCCCTTGGACAAATAAGCTTCTACATACTTTTTCCAGGAGAATTACTTGGGTGAGACTGATATCAAACTTTTTCAAGATTCATCTGGTGTTACCCTTCCCTGTTGTTTTGGAGAGGACTTCTGGGAGTTGTAGTTTCTCAGTGAAGACGGAAAGAAACTGACCCTCATCAGGGTGGTTGCAACTCAATACCTGCCTCAGAACACACAAAACCAAATAAGCTGATTGTAAAATAAAGGGGGCTCTTTCTCAATTGGTACTGGTTTCTAATTTTAATTGCTAAAGGGCTGGAGAAAATTCTCAGTATCTGTAAAGGGATGGGAGTTGCATCAGGGTTTAGATGGACTGATGTCATATTGTCCATTGCCTCTGTGAGTCTTGTAGGTCCAGAAGTTTTCTATAGGCTTTAAGTCCTTGATTGGCAACATCAGTTTTAAATATTTAGTGGTCTTCTTGTTGTTTAATCTGTGTCTTCTTAGCTTTGCTTGTGGGAGTTTGCTTACATTCTCTTGGCCAGTTGCCATTTGATTTAATCTTACTTTTAATAATAAGTCATAAATCCAAATACTGAGGGGGATGGGGTAAAAATTAAAATTCTTTTGTGAGCCTTTCTTCTTGTGCACTCCTCGGCAGAAACCATTGTGAAGAATTGTGTGAATGTTCTGTTTATTTCGTGCCACGATGATGACAGTCTGAAAGGGTGTCAGATTATGCAGCATTTTCTAATGGCCAGGTATTGATTTTGTTTTTTAAATTAAAAAAGATTTGCTGAGTTTTAATTGCCATACAATGAAATGTACGTATTTGAAGTATACAATTTGATATGTTTTGACAGATGTATATACCTGGAAACCATTACCATACTCAAAGTGATTGAAATATCCACCACTACCTTCCCTTTAGAAATATCTCCTCATACCCTTTTGTAATATTTCCAGTTGTTTTTGACCTCCCAGGCAATTGCTATTTGCTTGGTCACCATGGATTCTTTTGCATTATTTAAAGAGTTTTGTTAAATTAAAAGAAAATGTCCTTTTTTCCCCTTTGGTTTGTTTAGCATAATTATTTTGAGATTTATTTATGCAGTTCTACAAATCAATGGTTCATTCTTCCTTTTGTGATGGATTATTAGGTTGTGCATAGCATTTGGTTACAACATATAAAGCCACTGTAGACATTGACGGGCACCATTGTAAGGAAACATTTTACAGATGAGGAAAGTGACATGCAGAATGACTAGGGGATTCATGGAGCTACCCCAACTAGTAAGGAGCTGAACTGGAAATCTAAGTAGTCTGGCTCCAAAGTCTGTACTGTTACCCTGTCTCTGTACTCAATACTTTTGACTTTTTTTTTTAATTTACAGAGAATATAAGCTATAATCCCCCACCCACACAAAATAAAAACCCAGGAATTTTTGAAGGGACATCAAAAGATAAGGTGCTAGAGATGACAAAGTAAGCACTTACATCAGAGCCACAGATGGAAAAAATCACAGGGCAGTTGCTCTGATTGAACTGCCACGCCTGTCAGCCACTCTGATCCACATTTTCAGTAATGACTAATGGGTCATTAGATATGTACACTAACGATAAGCATACAGAGACAGCCCTGGAGATAGAGAAGGAGCTGTACTTGCAAAATTTCCTCATAGAAATTAACATTATTCTTGTGGAAAACATTGTATCTCTCAGGGCCTGATTCAGGAGAGCCTCCCAGGATCCATGGAAAATGGCCAAAAATTACAAAAAAACCCAAACAAACCTGTTTTCTACTTCCTAGAAGAGGGGTAGTAGAAGGGTAAGAAGGTGTTATGAAGATAAGCGTACATTTCATTCAGATAAAGGTGTAATATACTTTTTTTTTTTTTGGGGCCTGGCACCTCAGTACTGTGCTAATCCAGTGTAGCACCTTGTTTCCCAAGAAGTATCGAAGGTACTACCCTGCCTAAAGTGCTCACCCAGGGTGTCTACTTACTTGTTGGCATTTGTATTTTGCTTTTAAACATTGATTCTTCATTATTGAAAAATAAAACATTCCAACAACTCAATTCAGAAATGGACAAGGAACTTGAATGACATGTATCTAAAGAAGTTATAAAAATGTCAGTAAGCCCATAAAAAGATGCTTAATATTGTTAATCACTTGGGCTATGTAAATCAAAATCACAATGAGGTGCTACTTGAAAGCACATTCACAAAGATACTGTACAGCAGTGTTCATAGAAACATTCGTAATAGTCATAAGAGGGAACAACCCCTCCCCATATCTATCAGTAGGTAAATGGATAAGTAAGATATGACATGTATGTACAGTGGAATATTATTTAGCCTTAAGAAGGAAATTCTGACATATGCTACAGTGTGGTAAAAAAAAAAAACTAAAGCATTATGCTAAGTGAAATGGACCTGACCCAAAAGGACAGATATGTGATTCCACTTACATGAGAAACCTAGAATAACTTCATAAAGAAAGAAAGTAGAATAGTGGCTACTAGGGACTAGGGCAGCAGTGTGGGACTGGAGAGCTATTGTTTAATGGGTACAAGTTTTAGTTAAGATAAAAGTTCAGAGGATGGAGAGGGGTGATGGTTAGATTATAATGTAAATGTACTCAGCGATACTATAGTATAGGCACAGTAGTAGTTAAGATATCACAATAAAAAATATAGTCAATGCACATGGTTTAAAAAAACCCAGATAAACATAGTATGTTACTAGTTACATAGTGAGTTACTTCTGGTTTGACATCAATGTTATGAGAAGTAGTACCAACAAATATTTGGTGAAGAATGTGATAGCCACTTTCTCTTACAGGCTTCCAGTTCCTTTGGACTTGGTAGAACTGTTTCTGTAGCTTTTCAGTTTCCAGCTGCCACTCCAGGCCAAGACCTCTTAGCCTACTTAATGGTTGAGTGAGTAGGAAGGAAATGGAAAACAGGAGTGGAGAGTCTTATTATACTTGGTGTTAGCATCCAAGATTAGGGCCTGTTATGATGTCCCCTCAAAGCCTCACGCGCTTTTGGGAGGTGATTAGATCATGGGGTGATATACTTATCAATGGATTAGTTCACTGATGAGTGACTAAATGTGACTTGGGTGGTGAAGCCAGGTCTGAGGAAGTGGTTCGCTGGAGGCATGGCCTGGAAGGGTCTATCCCCCTCCTCTTTCTCCCTTCATCTTGTTCTCTTGGCTTCCTGACTGCCATGCCGGAAACAAGCCCCCTCTGCCTTGCTCCTTTACCATGCCCTCCTGCCTTGGAGCTGGCCGACTTTGGACTGAAGTCTCTATAAACTATGAGCCAAAATAAACTTTCTCTCCTTAAGTTGTGTGTGTTGGGTTT